GGTGAAAATTTTTTACTTTTTTGATAATGAGATGCAATCCATATTGAAGGCTGCATTGTTTGATTTTCTGCAGCAAGTACTTCAGGTTTTCCTCACCTTCAGCATGCAAGGTTGTTTCATCTGCATAATGTAGGTTATTGATGAGTCTTCCTCTAATCCTGATGCCACATTCTTATTCATAGAATCTAACTTCTTGAATAATTTGCTCAGCATACGGATTGAATAGATATAGAGAAAGGATACAACCCTGACATATACCTTTTTTCATTTTAAACCATGCAGTGTTCTCTTGCTCTGTTTGCACAACAGCTTCTTGGCCTGGATATACATTTCATATGAGCATCATTAAGTGTTCTGGGATTCCCATTCTTCTCAATGCTGGCCATAATTTGCTATGATTCACATGGTCAAATGCCTCTGCATCGTCACAAGAGCAGAAATGGACATTCTTCTGCTATTCTTTGCCATCAGTCAGAATCCATCTGACAACAGCAATGATATTCCTGGTACCATGGCCTCTTCTAAAACCAGCTTGAACTCCTGGCAGTTCTCTGTGAGTTGTGGAATGACATTAAGGTTATCATCTGTGAAGAGAGCAAAAGGTTGCTACAATGACAGAGAAGAAAGAAAACACCAAAATGAATCTCAGAAAAGAGGCTGATAATTGTGCTAGAGTGTTGATAAGCCAAAACAAAGGAAAGATGTTTTCATAAAAGTGCTGAACAGGAGATGCTTAAGGGCAGCTCAAGAAGATGAAGTCACTATTATAACAGACTATAGAAAGATCTAGACATGGAGAATAAAAAGGGGAAAACTTGCTTGACATTTACACAAATCCAAGCCTTGAGTTGTAATACTTAGAGAAGATATGGGAAAAATCTTGAATGCTCCAGAAAGAATCAAAAGAAGGAGGGCATTCATAGAATCACTATACCAAAAAGAACTGACTGACGCTGAAATAATTCAAGAAGTACCATGTGATCAAGAGCCAATGGTACAGAAGTTAGAAGTTCAAGCTGCACTGAAGGCATTGGCAAAAAAATAAGGCCCCAGGGATTGATAAGATACCAATTGACATGTTTCAAAAGACAGATGGAGCTCTGGACATACAAGTCTAAGCCAGGGAATTTGGAGGACAGCTGCCCAACCAACTGCCTGGAAGGGATCCACATTTGTTCCCATTCCCAAGAAAGGTGATCGAATAGAATGTGGAAATTATTGAACAGTGTCATTAATATCACATGCAAGAAAAATGCTACTGAAGAATGAGCACTGAGGAGTGATTAAAAGAAATAG